GCGAACACCGACTCCAACGAGAAGTTGTCATCACAGTCGCCAACAATCAAAACCTGCGCACACGACGACAAGGAGTGGTACAGCTTCAGTCAAGAGAAACAAATGTCATACTGCACATGTCAAAGGTACTCATCGCTGAAGGACTCGGTTACAACTTACTGAGTGTTAGCCAGTTGATGGCGAAGGGGATTCACCTGGAAGCCGACAGCACCACCCAAGAGTTCAAGCTATACCACGGGAGAGGCGGTCTCTACATCGGGAAAGCAGTATTGAAGAACAACGTCTTCGTCCTCGACTTCGTTCCTGACCTGGGCACTGCAGACAGCGACGCCATCGTGAACTTTACTGACTGGACACACCCTCCAGATCTCGACCCCGACTTCAGCCCGGGAGGTTATTGGTACTCCCACACTATCCCTGAAGCAGAACGAACACGAGCGTTAGCGACGATTCAACAAACAACAGAAGCAGCGACAACATCGGCAACAGCAACAACATCGGCAGCAGCAACAACATCGGCAGCAGCAACAACATCGGCAGCAGCAGCAACAACATCGGGAGCAGCGACAACATCAGCAGCAGCAGGAACAACGACACCAGTCACAGTCGACGAAGCACCACCAACACCCGCACAACAGCTAAATCCGACTCAACGCGAAGTCCACCGAAGCGCCAACTTCGTCGCCAGTTTTTACTCTAACTCCGACGCATACCAACGTTCACCCGGACACCGCGCCTCTGAAGAGATCTGGCACGCACGCACAGGACATCCAAGCAACACGGTTTTAAATAACACGATAAGAGCAGGAGTTCTTGACAAAGACTCTCTACTTCTACCCGACGGCAGAGAACTCCAAAAGGCACGAGGGACTTGCCTTACATGCCCCGAAGCTGACTTACCTCATCGACCATTCGCTCCACATCACAACCCGAGTGCACCAGCGTACGCACCACTTGAAAAGGTTTACAGCGGCATCCTTTACAATCGCGAACCAGGACAAGTCAACTACAACTACACCATCACCTTCATCGACGCCGCCACTCGATACGTCTCGCATCGTAACCTACCCAGCCGCGACATGGCGCTCGCAGCATTCGCCGCCTGGCTACCGATAGCAGAGAGAGAGTCTGGAACGCAACTGAAAAGCTTCCAGTCAGACGGAGGTGGCGAGTACACCTCTCAGCGCTTCAAGCAGTTCCTGGCGGAAAGGGGGATCAAGCAACTCCTCTCCCTTCCCTACGCACATCAGCAGCAAGGTGTTGCAGAAAGAATGAACAGGACCCTGCAGAATAGCATGCGCAAACTGTTACGTGGCATGCGGCTACCCAACCACCAGTGGCCAGCAGCAATGGACCATGCTGTCATGCTGCACAACTTGTTGTCGTCGTCATCACTCCCGAACAACGCATCACCGCATCTGCTGTGGACAGGGAAGCAGGGCAGCACAAAAATGTTACGAGTTTTCGGGTGCATGGTACAGTACAGACCCCCAGAAGCACGAGCGGGAAGATTTTCACAACGAGCACAGTGGGGACTACACCTCGGCATCGAGAAAAATTACAACGCGTGGAGAATCTTCGACGTCCACACAAAAGAAACAGTAGCAGCACGTGATGTGATCTTCTACGAACGACTCACCCTTCAAACGTACCTCGCCAACTTGCACGAGAATCGGGACCTCACCAGTGGCTTTCGTGGTGACCGAGCCTTCGCGTCAGCAGCGGATGAAGCAGACTGGGATGAGCAGAACGTCGACAACGCATCGGAGGAAGCCGGACCTCTTCCGTACTGCTCCGTCGACGTGCCCATGGATAAGGAAAATCCTCGCGACAGTAACAACGCCGAAGTCTTCTACCATTTCGCCGACAATGGTTACGTAACACCTGCGACAGTCAACACCAACGAAGTAGAAAGGGTAGGGCCAAATTTCATACCCGACCCAGAAGTGGGAGACGAAGCAGCTTATCCCGAGGATCCAGAACTCCCTCGATACTCCCAGACTGGACTGCAAATCCTTGGTCTCGTCACCGCAGTCCATGGCGCCGCCATTCCTAAGGAGCCTGCGACGGTTCAACAGGCTCTGGAGGGGGAACATAGGGAGAAATGGCGTAAAGCCATGGACAAAGAGCTGAAGGCACTGGAGGAGCGCAACACCTGGAAAATCGTTCCCATCGGCGTAGCACAAAACAAAACTATCCTTACCGGGAAGTGGGTCTTCCGTATGAAGACGAAAGCTGACGGCACCATCGACAAATTCAAAGCTCGCTGGGTCGTACGCGGCTTTGACCAGGAGCACGGAAGAGATTACACCGAAACCTTCGCTCCGGTCAGCCGTCACACCTCACTCCGAATCCTCATTGCCGTCGCCGCCATGAAGAAAAAGAACATGCGACAAATCGACGTCGCAAACGCATTTCTCTACGCACCTGTGGATGCAGAAATCTTCGTCGAGCTCCCGCACGGCTCCCACGGCGAACCCAACCGAGTCTGTCAACTGCTTAAGTCGCTCTACGGGATCAAGCAGGCACCGCGACTGTGGCAGCAGTACCTACACGCCCGCCTCATTCGCATCGGTTTCAAACAACTCCCGCACGACCAGGGCATGTATCGCCTAACAAAGGGAAGTGACTACGTTCTCCTAATCGTCTACGTGGACGATCTCCTCTACATTGGGTCAACCGACGGCATCGCCACGTGGTTCGAAGGGGAGCTTCAGAAAGACCTCACGCTCACGGTCTCTTCTACCGTTACGCAGTACCTCGGGCTCAACATCCGCGAGGAAGAAAACGCAATCTATCTAAGCGCCGAGAAGTACGCCGACACCATCGCGAAACGCTTCAGCCTCACACCAAGCGCCATCTCCACGCCTTACCGCTACACGTCAGGAACCGAAAAGGGACGATCTACCCTACTCAAGCCCGCCGGCATACGCGACTATCAGAAGAAGCTCGGATGTCTTCTCTTCGCAGCAGTCACATGCCGTCCCGACTTATCCTACTCCGCGAGCCAGCTCGCCACCTATCTCAAGAAGCCTGAAGCAGAGCATCTGGCGGAACTCGATCGCGCTCTCCACTATTTCGTCAGCACCGCGACGATCGGATTAACTTATCACAAAAACGCAACTACACCGACCAAGCTAATCGGCTACGTCGACGCCGATCACGCCGGCGACACCGATAACAGGCGCTCACGCACCGGCTATGTCTACCGCCTTGAGCCTATCGGTCCTATCTCCTGGCAGTCGAGTAAGCAGGAGTTAATCGCACTGTCTTCAGCTGAAGCAGAATATATTGCACTCTGCTCAGCCACCAAGGAGGGACTTTACCTTCGCGAACTGCTGGAAGAAGCGAAGTTAGCCGAGTTATCCAGCTTCACCGTGTTCTGCGACAACCAGTCAGCAATTCGCATCGCCAACAAGAACGGCTTCGCAAACAGGACGAAACACATCGCCCTGCGCTATTTCTTCGTGAAGGACGAGATCGAAAAGGGGAAACTCGATCTGTCATACTGTCCCACGTCTGAGATGGCAGCCGATTACTTGACCAAGAAGCTCGGAAAGCAGAAGTTCGAATACTGCATGCTGCTGACTGGACAAAGCCACGTCACCTGCGGCGACACTCCAGAAGCGAAGGGGAGTGTTGGAAACAATAAGTCTTAGTGCGCTTCTGTCGTGTCAAAACCCAAGACACTAGCGAAGCAGTCCGAATCGAAGCATCGAGTCAAACCTCGGAGGTTAGGGTAACCGCCTGGAGGTTACGGGAAAGTCAAAGGTCAGCGACCTTTGACTCGACAATTACAGCGCGACAGTTAAGGACACACAACTGACTCGTTACAGAGCAGTTGCCCGAGTCGCACTGTATCGAATCGCAACAGCAAATACAGTTATCTATCCATTCGTATTCCCTGTACTCTTATATAAAACCTTGTATTCGCTTGTTTAATTTAATCCACTTTGCTCTCACACACTAGTGCAAGGTCGGTTCACAAACTTCATTAAACGCTTCCGCTATTACAAACATCCTACCCAGAGTTATCCTCTGCAAAGATCCTTAAGGGCTTTCTCAGCCCAACAAACTCTACAAAGATCCTAGGGCGTTTCAGCCCAACAATCTGCATGCATCCAGATGTGATTTGTTTGTTGTTTGATGGTAGTGGTATCGAGTGACAAATAGCTATGCCATGTACTGATGTTGGATCCTTCGCATAATACACAACTCTTTTATTAGGTGCAGAAATGCACATGCCCATCACAAGGAAGTGCAACAAAAGCAACATACGGTATATTTCCATAGAAGTTGCCAAGAGTGGACTATAGGCACATGCACAAAGCTAAGAGGTGGTAACTTTTCAACCCACACCTGTCAGGCCACGACCCATGGTGCTGGGCACATGTACAAGCATGGTTCTGTGATGGAAGGGGGAGCAAGGAAAGGGGATGGCAGCGTGTGGGGAAGGGGATGGCAGCGTGGGGGGAAGGGGATGGCATCGTGTGGGGAAGGGGATGGCAGCCACCGGACATCATCTCCTCGCTGCTCCTGCTCTTCATTTTGTAGCCACCAGACACACTACCACCCCTATTGTTGCGCTTCCCCTCCCTTCGATGGTGACTCCTCTTACCTGTGCTTAGGGTTGGCTTTGGGGAAAGGGAGGATTATTGTGTGGGAAAAGGGCGAGGTAGAGTGGGGTATTGGACGGGGAGGAATGGGGGAATGAACGGGTGAGAGTGAAGGAAAGGACGGGGGGGAGTCGGGGAAAGGAAGGAGGCAGTGGGGGACTGGACGCGGGGGAGAGGGGGCTGGGGCGGGTGGGTGTCGGGGTAGGAAATGGGAGCGGGAGAGAGGGTTATGGCAGGGGTGACGGGAAGGGGTTGGAAGCGTGCGCGGAAACAATGTGAGCCGGGGGGGGAGGAGAATGAGCAGGGGAGACAGAGTGAGCTGGAGAGATCGAGGTGTGTGAGGGTGATACTGGTGCTTGTAACCACTTCAGGTCGCAGGGCGGGCTATGAGTGCGTGGAGGGGGAGTAGAGTGCGGTGGAGAGTGGTGAGGAGCTGGCATATCGTGTGGGGACGGGAGTGGGCGAGGTGTAACACAAGGGCGTGAGAGACAGCAGCAGGGTAGAGGTGGAGGTGTGTGAGGGATACTGCTGCTTGTAACCACTGCTAGCCGCAGGGCGGGGTGTGAGGTCCTGGAGGAGTGGAGTGCGGTGGAGGGTGGTGAGGTGCGGAGGAGGAGGAAGTGTGGCGCCGCGCGAGTGGGAGAGGACGAGGTGGGTGAGGGGGTGGAAAAGACACTGGTGGGAGTGGGATAAAGGGGAGCATCGGTGCAGGAGGCGTTCGCGAAAGTGAATCAGGGATGGGAGAATGACAAGGGTAGCTGGGAGAAGGGAGGACGGCAAAGGGTAGCACAGTGAAGGTAAGGCCCTTACCGTAAGAGGAGGTCTAGCGAAGGGGAATGGAGGGGTTGGAGTGGGGGAAGGGGAGGAATGGCGTGGGGGAGAAGGGAAGGGTAAGGGGGTAAAGGGAACTGAACCGAGAAGGGAAAGGAGGAGGCATATTCGAGGGAGAGAAAATGGGGGGTTGAAGGCAAGGGAAGGGGGGAAATGGGTGAGAAGGGGGGAAAGAGAATGAGCATGGGGAAAGAGAGTGAGGGCGGTAATTCCCATGAGCAGAGGGGGAGAGAGTGAGCATGGGAGTGAAGGCGACAGGAGGGGGAAGTGTAGAGCAACGACGTGGTGAAAGGGAGGGTTGGCGAGAGGGCAAGGGAGAGTTGGCGCGGGGGAACGGGTTGGCACGGGGGGGAGGAAGGGTCAGCGTGGGGGAAAGGGAGGGTGGTAGTGGGGGAAGAGGAGGGGGTGAGTGGGGGAAAGGGAGGAGTAACGTAGGGGAGAGAGAGGGTTGGCGTGGGGGAAATGGAAGGGTGACACGAGGGAATGGAGGATTAACGTGAGGGAAAGGGGGGATTAGCGTGAGGGAAAGGGAGGATTAGCGTGAGGGAAAGGGAGGATTAGCGTGAGGGAAAGGGAGGATTAGCGTGAGGGAAAGGAATGCTTATGTGGGGGAAAAGGGCGAGGGAGAGTGGGGGAAATGACGGGGGGGAGTGGGGGAAATGACCGGGCCAGTGGGGGAATGGACGGGTGCGAGTGGGGGAAAGTACGGGGGGGAGTGGGGGATTGGGCGGGTGGTAGGGAGGGAAAGGGAGGATTAGCGTGGGGAAATGGCGGGTTGGCGTCGGGTGCAGGGAGGGGTAGCGTCGGGGCAGGAAGCGTTAGCGCAAGTGAATCTTCCAACTTGTGGAAGAGGTTGTGGGGGATTGGGGGGGAGACTGGGAAGAGAATGAGCAGGGGAGACAGACAGAGAGAGCCGGGGGGTAGCGAAGGAGCAGAGGAAACAGGGTGAGCCGGGGAAGCGAGGGCGACGGGAGAATGAGCAGGGAGATGGGAGGGGGGAGCGAGGGCGATGGGAGAGGGAAGTGAAGGCGACGGGAGGGGGAAGTGAAGGCGACGGGAGGAGGGAGTGAAGGCGACGGGAGGAGGGAGTGAAGGCGACGCGAGAGGGATGTGAAGGCGACGGGAGGAGGGAGTGAAGGCGACGGGAGAGGGATGTGAAGGCGACGGGAGGGGGATGTGAAGGCGACGGGAGGGGGAAGTGAAGGCGACCGGAGGAGGGAGTGAAGGCGACGGGAGGGGGACGGGACGAGCAAACGCTACTCGCGGGGTAATCGAAAGGATTCGCAGCTTGCCAGGTGACGCACGTACGGGCGTTTCCGACTCGTGCGATGTGTCGCTTCTAATTCGGAGCGATAAGAAATGATGCAATCGCGCAGCTTTGTGAACGCTATCACTATCCCCCGCCGCCTGCTTTGACGGATAGGGCTCTGCCCTTGCGCTGGGCTCAATTTCCTAGCTACCTGTAGTCGGCGCAGTTTCCTTGCCTACAAAGCAGTGACGTGGTGTTGGGAAATGGGGTTGTGAGTCAGGTTGCTGTGAGGTGTCGCTCTAGGCTATGTGCGACTGATGTGTGCGTGAAGTACATGTCGCAGGTAAACCCTGGTAACATTGGGGAACCTGCGCAAGTTCACGAACATTCTCCAACAATCTCGACACCCCCAACGTTCGCGGGCCAATCGCGTTTTCCTTCCCAACCAGCTTCCTAAGGGCGGGTCCAGCGCGTACGTTTTCCGTACATTACAGTTCATCCAGTACGGTAATCTGTACTGCGTCACGGTTCAAAACGGTGCAATTTAAAAACCACTGTGCACCGCCTGATATCTTTTCAAACCACGACGAATGATCTGTATAGTACCTGAAAACGTACGCGCTGGACCCGCCCTAAGGTTGAACTTCTTGGCCTGCGGGTTTTAAGAACCTGACTTCTGTATCCATATTTGGGGCCAAGAATCTGGATGACAAACTCCTCATCGGCCTGGCTTGTGCCTGTCCCAAGCTGATACACCCAATTCTCGATAATTCACACCCTCGAATCCCGAACAGCGCAAAAATTTGCCTGGGAGGGTGTAAAATTATCCGGGCAAAAAAAAAGTTCCCAATAATTTCACACACGAGGCGCTTTTTTTTTGTGCTGACTGGGCCTCGAAATGCAGGAACAGTTTGACGAACTGAGGACTTTGTGCTGACAAGGACTAGAGTTGAAAATGGATGTTGACTGATTCTCCGAATTTTTAACCCCAATGAAAGATAAGCACGTCGAGTTGCTTATCTCAATTCGGACCAGTCAGAATCGACTAAAATCCATGTCGAAACTTAGAGTCAGATATCCTCGTTCTTCATGGGTCCTCAGGCTGGTTACTGGTAAGAACTCTACACCCTATTCATTCATTCGAGCTTTGTATAATGACACGCAGAATGAAACTACGTTACTTACTACGAGACTAGACGCGACCTAGGTTGAACCCAGCAACCCCGTTCCACCCCACTTCTCGGAGTATAAAAGGCCCTCATTCTCGCATTTCCATTCAGTGATGTTCAACCATGCTTCGCCAGCTTGGCAGCCCTAAGGCTTTGCCGAAGTAACCGAAGAGCGGGGTGAAATTAGGGGGTGTAAAATTATCGAGAATAGGGTGTAGATCTGCAACTTAGCAGCTCTGGCCGTTCCCGAATCACGCGTATGGGACTAGATGCACTGTTCACGGCGTGCACTAACCTGCAGGTACTTTCCTAACAGATATCAGTGAAGATTCAACAGATGCCAGCTTCTTTCTTCGGTTTAACCTCGTCAAGGGACGTCACGCTCAGCTTCGCCCTCGGCGAATTCCCAGATCAGTTCGGCGGCCTCAAATCTCTCGAGGTTTTGACGTTGGAATGCTTACACATCACAGACCTACCAGATTCGATCGACCAACTCACCGCATTGACCGAGCTGAGCATTTCCAACTGCCAGCGGCATCAGGATCTGCCGGATTCCATCGGCGATCTTTGTTCATTACAAAAACTAGAGATTTTCCGCGCGAAGCCGTTAGAAGTCCTCCCTGACAGCATCGGCCAGCTTCAAAACCTCGAGAATGTTCTTCTCCACCTCAACCGGTCCCTCTGCGAGCTTCCGGATTCCTTTTTCCATCTCCCGTCCCTCAAGATTCTCAAGCTATGGGACCTGAAAGATCTTTCGGAGCTTGAAGGCGCTGTGTCGAATCTCGTGAATTTGGAAATGCTTCACATTGAGAAATGCTGGTTCACTTCGCTCCCGGATTCCCTCTGCCAGCTTCCCAACCTCCGTCGCCTGATGGTCACCGACTGCTGGGCTCTCACCACCCTTCCGCGAAGCATCGGCGACGCATCTTCACTGCAGCGTCTGAAATTTTCCAACCTCGGAAGCTTGGAGTGCCTGCCGGATTCCATTTCGAAGCTGAATGATCTGCGATCATTCGTCCTGAAACGATGCGGTGCCATCGAAGAGGTCCCGGCTTCTCTCTTCCAGGGCTGCACGGACTTGAGAAAACTGGAGTTTGAATGGCCATACAGCTGCGGGAATGGCGTCCGGGCTGGGAGAGTGCCTTCAGCTGAAGCCTTTGTGTCTAACCTTTGCGAATTATCCAGCCTGACATCCCTTGTCCTGTCTGGTGTTTCAGATCTCAGTACTCTTCCTCGCCAGATTGGGAATCTCTCGGAGTTGGAGCAGCTGAAACTTGATTCTTGGCCCAAACTGGTGTGCCTGCCTGATTCAATGTCCAAGCTCGTCGACCTCTACACTCTTGAAATCGTAACCTGCCCGGCTTTCGATAAAAGGATCCATGCTATTCTTAGGCTTCCACGTGTGAAGATTGTACGGGAGAGCAGTCGAGAAGAGTGGGCAAGCGACGACGAGTGGGGAAGCGACGACGAGGGGCTGCTGTAGATGCAAAAAGAGTGTCTATGTATGCATGTGGGTGTGTTGCTTACCTAGTAGATGATTCATTGCTTAGGGATGATTCACTGGATGTTTCATTGATGATTCATTGACGACGAGGGGCTGCTGTAGATGCAAAAAGAGTGTCTATGTATGCATGTGGGTGTGTTGCTTACCTAGTAGATGATTCATTGCTTGGGTACCTAGTCGATGATGCACGTGGGTGTCTGTGTGACTATTGTGTCCATTCATTCCTTAGCTAGTTTGAGTGCTGGCGAAACTACCTTATCACTTGGCTCTTGTATTCATTCTGAGTGTTTGCGTATCTTCCCTTACCATCCCATCCCATGTCATCCTATTCAGCACTCCCATCCCATCGTTCCCGTACAAAAACACACAACCAGGACTCACGCAGTACACCAGTAGGGTACCGGTAATTCCACTGTTCCCATATTCACACACACAGACCAGGAACTCAAAATTGCCATTCTGTGGTACCAGGGTGCTCACGAATCATGAGTAAATCTGATTACTTCATATGGGACTGCTTTTTTAAGCCAAAACAGAAAGTAGGCACCATCTTGGTTTCAATGGCATCTGGATGTGGTTGACTTGACCTTACCACAGCTAGCGTTTTAGAGCCAAGCACTGTGCAGCACAAGTGCTCTTCACTGTTCGGGAAGCCTAGATTTTCGTGTCCCGCCTTTTCCTCGGTGTCCACCTGATTGTGATCGAGAGGAATGGGAATCCAATACAGTGGGATGCAGGAGTGGGACAGTGGGGAGAGGGAGGAGCGGAGCTGGAAAGGGGGGAAAGTGGGGTGATATTGGGACACAAGGATCATCTGTGTCCATGCGTGTGTACAGTAAAGATAAGTGGGAGGCCAGAGGTACCATACATCTTGCTCATAAGTGAAAAGGCTTGTTTCAGGAAGGAACACACAAAGGAGTGGGAGTGGTAGTGCGTGCATGTGAGAGTAATTGGCTGGGGCTGGGGGAAGGGGGCCAGGAGGGGACAAGGGGGTGGGGGATGGGAGGAAAGAAATGGGGGGGAAGGTGCAAAAACGATCAGCCATACAGAAAGGATATGCACTTTCCTTCGCCTTTCCTCCGCCCGTCTCATCCATTCAGTGGATGTATGTCCTCTCCTTATGGCCAAATGTGGCACACCACGAAAGAACCACTACCAGCGTTTGCACATCTTCTCCTTCTCCTCTTGCACTTGCTCCTCCTCCCTCAGCAGTCACTCTAAGCATGCCCTCCCCTTCACTCACCATCCATACCTGTTGAAAACAACCATCCATACCTGTTTTCACACCGAGGGCGTTTTCTACCCCTGCTGCTGGCAGGGCTGGGATGAGTTGACCGGCCATGGGATCCCCGTCTTGTACTAGTCGTCTTCGCTAACTTCTCTCGAATTGATGGTCTCTCCCGGCGCTTCCCAGTTAATGCCTTCTCCAGCCGTCTCCCGTTTCTACAGGATTTGCTTGCGAGCCGCTTCTCCCGCATGCTGCGGGCCTCGTCTCCCCTCGCATGCTTCTCTGCAATGGCAGCCACACGCTCCGCCTCATTGGGCCATTTCTGGGCGAATGGAGGGCAGCAATGGGAACATGCTAGGACGATGGGTAAAAACAGGGTTTCAAAACGTAATCAGAACAGCCTAATGCAGCCTCCCTGTCTACCTCATTATGGCCATTTCTAGACGAGTGTAAGGCAGCAACGAGAACAAGCCAAGGTAGTGAGGAAAAGGTCAGCGAGAGAGCTGGAACAGTCAGTCGACGTAAGGGTTGTGGCATCTGATCACAACACTCAGTCGCAGTGGCTCCATCCGCCTCAGTGAAAGCTCGGGAAGTGGCAGGTTGAGATGATCACTCAGAAAAACGGCTGTTGAGATTTTCATGCGTGAAAAATGGCTCATTCCATGCATACGCTTTCCCCAACCAACCCTTATGATTCTGCATGTACATATTTGCCCTGTATTATTCAAACAAAATGCACACAGCATCGGATACCGACCCTTCACTAGACAAATGCATGCACACGTTAGGATTAGAGTAGACAAATTCACCTGTCGAAATGTTTCATGTCTGTACAGTATTCTCCCCTTTACAAGTAGCTGCGTCATTGGAGCCAGTGCATGTGCACCGGAGGTCCAAATAACCTCCACCTGAAAGAAAGTTCAAACAAATTAAAGCTCAGTTGGATTTGGAAATACAGAGTGAGCAATGGGTACGGTGGCAAATGCATGGACTTCTAACGAGTCAACTGTAAGCTGCCACTTTCACTAGAAAAAGTGTGTGCTTACAGTGAACGTGTGCTGCTGCTTCTTCACACCGTAGCTTTCACTGACCACTCTCCCTGCCACCAACCGATACCCTCCATGCGTTGCCTTTCTCTCATGCCTGCATGGGTCATCTGTTGGCGTCAGTTGCTATCCGTTGCCATGTACATGAAACGTGCAGCACATACAGGCACTAGAATAAGGCACAAATCTGAGGTTGCATGACATGGGCAACAGGCATGGTATGCCATGGGAAACAGGCATGGCATGCCATGGCAGGATTGCATGGCACGGACGTGGCCGCATTCCACAGTCTCAAACTGCAACCATTCCGGGCGTGGTAAAAAGGCATATGGCAGGCATGCTGTGAAGCAAAAGCGTGCTGCACTTTACCTCCCCCTTGCACTATGTGGCCGCATTACTACCTCCCCCTTACCTTTCACCCTCCATTCCCATCCCCTCCGCTTGCAGGCAAGCAACCTTCTGCCCTTGCATTCACGGAGAACAGAGCTAATGAGATGAGATAACACAAGCAGAAAAAGAGGTGACATAATGGATGACCTGGAAGCTGTCCCTGAGACCGGCCTTGAGACCGGCCTTGAGACTTACGTTGAGACTGATCTTGTGGATATTCGTTGGTTAAATAGAACAACGTCGTTTCTGCAGACGTCACCTGTGGCATCGCCATGTTTGAATGAAACGGCAGTAAAGAAAACGTGCTTTGGGACTCTGGTATGATGGTGCGGCAGTTGTGGATATAAGAACGTGCTTTGGCGTGCCATGAAGCAAATATCTTGCATATGGTCCAGCTTTTGACGAGCATTGAAGTCCCTGTTCATTGGTTACCTGTGCAATTGATGAAGAAGGATGCACGTGGGTACTGGCGCTTGGCTGATTGGACGTCCTTGAGCCTGTCTTGAAATGGGAAAGAAACGAAGGAAATCTGACACTACATTAACAGAAAACGAGGGGAAACTGACCGTACCTTAGCAAAAAACGAAAAAAATCGGCTGTAATTCGACACCAGTTGTAGAGATGTATCAAATGGAACAGAGAAGTGTTTCATATCACCTTTCACGCTTGAGCTGCAATTTCCCAAACGCATTGCGTTCCCTGAAGCAGGAGACTCTACTCTTTTCAGATGAACAGCAGGGCGTTCGACAACTCAAAAGCGACACGTCTTTCTCGGACGTAACGAGGAGCTTACTCGTAATGTCTCTGAATGCGACTGATCAGGTCCGCCTTCGAGTCGCTCAGCCTTAAACCGTAATACCGCAGATAGGCCTTACATAGCTCGCTGGTCAGCTTGCCCCACTCTCCCGCTGCGATGCGAGTCAATGGTAAAAACGGGATCAAACAAAACAAACACGGTTCAGGAGAAAAGGAAAAGAGTCAGTCGGATGGTACGGGGTAAAATGTTATCAATAAAAACGGGTACAGGGTAGTGTTGGGAATGTACCTCGAATCAAGGATAATGCCTGCGCGTACGGATTGGATGGCAGAGAGGAGCCCCTGCGATCAGTCGAATTGCCAACAGCCTTCTTTTCCAGACGTTTCGAGCTAGCAGGCGTTGGCAGCATGGAGTTGCTTCCTGTTCTACTACTTTCCGTTTCGTTGTCTGTTACCTTTCCGTTTTCGTCCACCAACCAGGACTTGTCAACGTCATTGCCACTACTATCCCCGTTATTATCGACATCGCTGTCGAAATCGCTACTATTATCGCCAGGACTGTCACTACCCCTACTACTATTGCTGTAGCTGTCGTAGTTCCTACTATCACTATTGCTGGCACATTCAAAGTCGCTGTCACTTAGCGTTTCATATTCGTCATCACTAAGCGAAAGAGCTGTGCATGCGGACCCGCCTTTCGCCATGCTACAACCCTTCCAACGGTCATGCAGTGTCTTCGTCCAAGCAAAAAAACAATTCTAGGGGCTGAATGACATCAGACATGAAGCATAGAAATGAAGTTACTAGGAAAAGTATATTACGGCGAGCCTACAACTGTACTGCCTTGATCGTCAGACGCATAGTCACACTCTCAGTTCGCGAGCTGGGGAGATGCTAGTCATTCAGCCGCGCCCAAGTTTGAAACAAGCACTCATAACCAGCACCTGGAGAGTTTCAAAGTTCGAAAGAGTTCGAAAGACTTGCCAGTCAGCCATGGTAACCAGCACATGAACGGAGAAACCAGCCATGGATGTTGGACATTACGACATGTCACAGAACCGAAGCTGTAGCATTTTGTAGCTTTTGAAAAAGCTATGTTACCGTAATGCACAGCTTGGTGACAAATCAGGCACTCCCCTCCCACGATTGGGACATTCGTGAATGTCGCAAGCAGCTCGCGCGAACGGAATTCCGTGCGAAAGCTGAAATCCAGCTGATCATTGGCCAATCCCGCTCATTTTCGTCAGCCTGTCACATCTGCAGACATGTCAGGAAACCCTGACAGTCAGACTCCAACGCTGCAGTGCTGCGCAGGTTCTGAATTTCCCAAGCCTGTACTCACCCTGATGTTCAGCAGTCTGTGGAACCCCACCGTAAAAGCTCTTTTTCGTATAAGAACGTTCTGCACCGTTGTAAAAAACGTAAGTCGCAGGAGGTAAAGATGCTGAGATCTCTCCGAAGACTATTACTAGTACTTGGGAGGCCGGACTCAGCAGACTAGCTTAGTATACAGTCCTTGCACTCTTGTCCTAGTGAAACGTCTTAGTTCAGCTGATTCCTCCATTACCTTGCTAGCTTCATAATTACGTGGTATGGCGTTGACTCGCGTGTCGTTCGACCACTTGTCGGACGATCTTCTATGCACTATTCTCTGTGAGAGAATTAATCACTATTCTCCCTGGCAGGGAGCAGCGCATTTCTCCCTAGCCCTGGTCTGTAAGCGATGGTATCGCATCGTTTGTCTTACTCAAAGGTCGATCTTCTTCAAGAGTTATGTCCAAAACACCCACGTTCTCCGATCTCTTTCTCAGTTTAAGAACCTAACGTCTGTAAATATAGTTGGGTCCGAGGGTCCGGGTGACGATTTCCTCATTGGCCTGGCTTCTGCCTGTCCCAAGCTTACGAGCCTACAACTTATGAATTCTAGCCGTTCCACAGTAACGCGTACGGGGCTAGATGCACTGCTCACGGCATGCACTGACCTGCAGATACTCTCCTTACACTTGTCCGTGAAGATTGAGCAGATGCCGATTTCATTATTCGGTTTAACCTCATTGAGAGACCTCACACTCAGTTTCGGCCTCGGCGAATTCCCGGATCAGTTCGGCAACCTGAAATCCCTGAAGCGGTTGACATTGGAGTGCCTGCACATCACAGATCTACCAGATTCGATCGGCCAGCTCACTGCATTGACCGAGCTAAGCATTTCCAACTGCAAGCGGCTTGAGGATCTACCGGATTCCATCGGCAATCTTCGTTCGTTACAGAAGCTGGAAATTTTCCGCGCGAAGCCGATGGAAGTTCTCCCTGACAGCATCGGACAGCTTCAAAACCTCGAAGATGTTCTTCTCTACCACAACCGGTCCCTCTGCGAGCTGCCGGATCCCTTCTTCCATCTTCCGTCTCTCAAGGTTCTCAAGCTGTGGGAATTGAAAGATCTTCCGGAGCTCGATGGCGCTGTGTCGAATCTCGTGAATCTCGAAATGCTTCAGATTGACAAATGCTGGTTCGAATCGCTCCCGGATTCCCTCTGTCAACTTCCCAACCTCCGTCGCCTGATGGTCACCGATTGCTGGGATCTTACCAGCCTTCCGCGAAGCATCGGCGACGTAACTTCACTGCAGCGTCTGAAGTTCAGGGATCTGGGAGTGACGCAGCTGCCAGGCTCCATTTCAAAGCTGTCCGACCTCCGATCCTTCGTCCTGAAAGGATGCGGTGCCATCACCGAGGTTCCGACTTCTCTCTTCCAAGACTGCACGAACTTAGTGAAACTGGAGTTTGACTGGCCATACAGCTGCAGAAATGGTGGCCAGGCTGGAGGAGTACCTTCAGCTGAAGCCTTCGTGTCCAATATTTGCAGACTATCCAGCCTTACATCCCTTGTTCTGTCTGGTGTTCCGGATCTCAACACCCTTCCTCCCCAGATTGGTAACCTCTTGGGACTGGAGCGGCTGAACCTTCGTTTTTGGAACGAACTGACGAGCTTGCCTGATTCCATGTCCAAGCTTGGCCGCCTTTACTCTCTTGAGATTGTTCATTGCCCTGCTTTCGATAAAACGATCAATGCGATTCCTGGGCTTCCACGTGTGGAGATCTTACGGGAAAGCAGTCGCAAAGATTGGGGAAGCGACGATGAGTGGGAAACTGACGACGAAGGGATGCTGTAGAAGTAGAGGTCAGCATTTATGCCCGTGGGTGCGTTGTGTACCTAATAGATGATCAAGAGTGTGGATGTTGATGGTCGTACGCAGCAGCCGTGGATGTTGATTACTGCTCCACCTTACTGCTCCACTACTTGAAGAGCGGGCGACTATGTTGCTTAGCTCTTGGTAGAATTCTCTTGTTTACTTCGGCTCTTCCTTTTTTTTAACCTTTACACTCTCGTCCCGACTTGCACTCGCTCCCTCCGCCCTTTTCCCCGCGCCAGTCCTTTGTTCCAGGTGCGGCCGCATTTCCGCCATTGCCCTAATTCACGCCTCAGCGCAGGCCGGGAACCAACCTTGCGCCCACCCCTCCACTTCCGCCACTTCCCCTTCCGCCGCTTCCTCCGCTTTCCTCGAAGCCCTCCCCAGACGCTCCGCGCTCGCGGGCGGACTCCTCGCCTTGGCTTCCGCCACCCTCTCCCCGTATCTCCCGCTACCCACCCTCTCTCCCCCCCCGTCGCGCACGCCGCCGCGGACGCCGCCGCAACGGCGGAAGCCGCAGCCGCCGCGGGCGGAAGCGACCTGCTGAAAGGGCTCCGATCCGCGTTCGATTCGGAGGAGCTCACAGCGAGCGGGCGGCGGCTTCCGAAGGCGTACGTGCAGAGCGTGACGGCGCTCATCAGCAGCCTGCGCGACGCGCTGGGCGCGGAGGAGGGCGACCGGGGGGAGTTCCGGCGCAAGGCGGAGGTGGCTAAGGGCGCGATCCGCGCGTACCTGGGGGAGTGGCGGGGGAAAGCGCCAGAGAACACTGAGGTGAGCACAGGGGAGGGGAGGAAACGATTTTTTAGCAGTCTTATAACAAATAAAAAGCTATGCTATTGCTAGCAGACTTTATGGGGAGTGGCAAGGGAATGTCACTCGGCAGATTGCACAGAGGTGAGAGCAGAGGATAGGGAAGTTGGGGAATATGCATGGGGATGCTGAAGATGCTTGGGGATGCTGAAGACGCTTGGGGAAAAGGTTTGAGGGGTTGAAAGGAACGCTCCTTTCACCTAATGCGTGGTCAGGTCGTCTCACTCTATCCCCCTCGTCTGCACCTCATTGCCCTCTTCCCCACTTTCCTCCCTCTCCTCCCTCTCCCCACTTTCCTCCCTCTCCTCCCTCTCCCCACTTTCCTCCCTCTCCTCCCTCTCCCCACTTTCCTCCCTCTCCTCCCTCTCCCCACTTTCCTCCCTCTCCTCCCTCTCCCCACTTTCCTCCCTCTCCTCCCTCTCCCCACTTTCCTCCCTCTCCTCCCTCTCCCCACTTTCCTCCCTCTCCTCCCTCTCCCCACTTTCCTCCCTCTCCTCCCTCTCCCCACTTTCCTCCCTCTCCTCCCTCTCCCCACTTTCCTCCCTCTCCTCCCTCTTCCCACTTTCCTCCCTCTCCTCCCTCTCCCCACTTTCCTCCCTCTCCTCCCTCTCCCCACTTTCCTCCCTCTCCTCCCGCTCCTCCCTCTCCCCACTTTCCTCCCTCTCCTCCCGCTCCTCCCTCTCCCCACTACCCACTACATCACCTCCTCTTTTTGACTCTGCTCTCACAATGCTCTCCTGCTTCTTCATGCCTGGTGCAGAGAATTAAATGACAATCTTCCCTCTATTTGAGACTTTCTCCCTAGCGTCCTCCCCTCCTCCCGCCCTTCCCCTTCACCTCTCCTCCCCGTTCCCCCTACTCCCCTCCTTCCCTCCTACCTTCTTCCGCAGCTCCCCTCCTCCCCTCCTTCCCACCTCCCCTCCTCGCCTCATTGCCACCTCCCCTCCTCCTCTCCTCCCCCCTCCCCTCCTAATCAGACCATCACCTCCTCTCTCAACTCACCCCATCGGAATGCTCTCCTGCTTCTAAGTTCCCCTTTCACATTCTCTCCCTGCCCTGTTCCTGCTTCTAAGTTCCCCTTTCACATTCTCTCCCTGCCCTGTTCCTGCTTCTAAGTTCCCCTTACACATTCTCTCCCTGCCCTGTTCCTGCTTCTAAGTTCCCCTTTCACATTCTCTCCCTGCCCTGTTCCTGCTTCTATGTTCCCCTTTCACATTCTCTCCCTGCCCTGTTCCTGCTTCTATGTTCCCCTTTCACATTCTCTCCTTGCCCTGTTCCTGCTTCTATGTTCCCCTTTCACATTCTCTCCCTGCCCTGTTCCTGCTTCTATGTTCCCCTTTCACATTCTCTCCCTGCCCTGTTCCTGCTTCTATGTTCCCCTTTCACATTCTCTCCCTGCCCTGTTCCTGCTTCTATGTTCCCCTTTCACATTCTCTCCCTGCCCTGTTCCTCCTTTTATGTTCCCCTTTCACGTTCTCTCCCTGCCCTGTTCCTGCTTCTATGTTCCCCTTTCACATTCTCTCCCTGCCCTATTCCTGCTTCTATGTTCCCCTTTCACGTTCTCTCCCTGCCCTGTTCCTGCTTCTATGTTCCCCTTTCACATTCTCTCCTTGCCCTGTTCCTGCTTCTATGTTCCCCTTTCACATTCTCTCCCTGCCCTGTTCCTGCTTCTATGTTCCCCTTTCACATTCTCTCCCTGCCCTGCCCTGTTCCTGCGTCTATGTTCCCCTTTCACATTCTCTCCCTGCCCTGTTCCTGCTTCTATGTTCCCCTTTCACATTCTCTCCCTGCCCTGTTCCTGCTTCTATGTTCCCCTTTCACATTCTCTCCCTGCCCTGTTCCTGCTTCTATGTTCCCCTTTCACATTCTCTCCCTGCCCTGTTCCTGCTTCTATGTTCCCCTTTCACATTCTCTCCCTGCCCTGTTCCTGCTTCTATGTTCCCCTTTCACATTCTCTCCCTGCCCTGTTCCTGCTTCTATGTTCCCCTTTCACATTCTCTCCCTGCCCTGTTCCTGCTTCTATGTTCCCCTTTCACATTCTCTCCCTGCCCTGTTCCTGCTTCTATGTTCCCCTTTCACATTCTCTCCCTGCCCTGTTCCTGCTTCTATGTTCCCCTTTCACATTCTCTCCTTGCCCTGTTCCTGCTTCTATGTTCCCCTTTCACATTCTCTCCCTGCCCTGTTCCTGCTTCTATGTTCCCCTTTCACATTCTCTCCCTGCCCTGTTCCTGCTTCTATGTGCCCACTGGAGTGGACTCATCGCCAAGCCGTCTCCTTATGACACATTTCCTCCCTACCCTCCTCCCTTTTCTCCTCCCTCCCCTCCTTTCTCCTCTTCCATCAGACCATCACCTCCTCTCTCGACCCTGTTGTCAGAATGCTTTTTAGCTTTGACCCCCTGGCTGCATCTTATTCCCCTTTCACAATCTCTCCCTGCCCTGTTCCGTCCCTTTTTCTCCTCTTCACTTCTCCTCCCCATGCAATTAAACGCCTCCTCTTTCGACTCTGTTCTCAGAACACTTTCACACGTCTACATGAACAGTAGATTGAATGCAATGTCAGCCATTCCCCTGTTTCACATTTTCTCCCTACCTGCCCCTCTCCCCCCCCTTTCTCCCCTCCTTTTATCCCAATCAGATCGTCACCTCCTCTCTTAAGCCCGTTCTTAGAACACCTTCGTGATTCTACATGCGCAGTCTAGTGCATCCAGTGCCAGGTCCAGGTTGCCTTGTTTTCCTTTTTCACAGTTTCCCCCTGCCCTTCTCCTCCCTTCCTGCCCTCCTTAGACCATCACCTCCTCTCTCAACTTCGTGCTCATAATACTCTCTCCTTGCGAAGCGATTTCAATGATCCCTTCACATTTTTCTGCCTCCCGTCCTCCCCAACCCCCTCTCCTCCCCAACCCCCTCTCCTCCCTGTCCCTTCGCCCGATCAGACCATCACCTCCTCTCTCGAGTCTGCTCAGAACGCTCTCCCACTTCTACATGCGCAGTGGAGTCAACGCAAAGCTCCCTGTTGACGTCAGAGATGGGATCTTGCTGACCTGGCACTCGCAGAGGCTGCGTTATGATTGGTGGGGATGAAGATTATCCAGCTAATTAATCCGCTTCCACATATGTTTTTGTCATAGCAAGCTGCTGAGCCCGAATGCACAAAACACAGCCGAAAATTGCTCACTGAGCGATTATACGAAAGGTCTCAATAAATTGTCATTTCGTCGGCTCGACTTCCCTGTGTTGGAAACAATCGATCTTAAGTGCCTCTGTCGTGTCGAAACACTAAGGCACAAACAAAAGCGAAGCATATCGAAGCACCGGCGAGTCAACCCTCGGAGGTTGAAAGTAACTGTTGGAGGTTACGCGAAAGTCAAAGGTCAACGACCTTTGACCTGATAAAGTACAGTGCGATAGCAAGGACACACAACTGACTCGCTACAGAGCAGTTGCCCGAGTCGTCACTGTATTGAACCGCAACAGCAACAGTTATAACTTTACCCCTTCATATTCCTTGTCCACTTCTGTAATCTTGTATCTCTCTGTTTTAATTAACTTACTTTGCCCTCACATGCTAGCGCAAGGTGGTTCACAACTCTTCATTAAACGCTTCCGCTATTACATCAGTCCTACCCAGAGTTCACCCCTGCAAAGATCCTAAGAGCTTTTCTCAGCCCAACATGGTATGAGAGCAGTCAGGGAGAATTCAACTTCTATTAAGATACCGACAACATCAACAGGCATGGCTACACAAAAGGAAAGGAGCTCCTCCAACGGCTCCCAGGGCACTACTCCTACTCCACCTCCTGCCTCTGACCTACAGATAGAGGAGGGTACGGCAACAAGACCCAGGGCAACATCCACCGAGACTCTTGCGAATCAACCTGCAGACTTCGACCAGAGCATGATGGAGAAATTCTTCTCCTTCAGGTCCTTCTACGAGCAACACCAGCAATCAGCACCTGCGCAGTCACACAAAAGCAACAACAACGGAGCAACTCCCATGAGTCTCGACGGTTCATCATACGCACGAGGAAATCAACAGCAGCAGCCTACCTTTGCTCCGTACGAACACGGGTCCATCAGCTTTATGCCACACCCGCAGCCTTCACCTGGACAAGAAAAGTCACTGGACGCATTACAAGTTCAGTCGCAGTTCGCGCACGTTCTGAAGATGCAAACGTTAAGACCTTTCGATGGAAAGGATTTCTTCACCTGGTCGTTTGAATTCTAGTTAATGATGGAAGGCGCGCAGATACTTGGCTTCTTCGACGGGTCCCTGCCATACCCAACGAACGGCACACAGTATGAGAAGCAGCAGTACACCTATCAGTCGATGATGGCGTACACGATTCTACTGAGAAACATCACCCCGACCCAACAGCAAAATATACGGTCTTACCAGGGTTACGGCAACTCCGCGGAGCTCGCATACAACCACTTGAAGAGCCTGTATCAAGCAACAGACAGCGTAAATCAAAGTCGGTTAATGGCGCAACTGACAACGGTCAAAATGAAACCAGGCGAAAAAGGAATGGCGTATATCAACCGATGTCGCGAGTTGCGCGACAAGCTTCTTCGATGCGGAGGATCGATATCTGAAGACGCCTTCGTGACAGTTATCATTGGCGGCCTCGGTCCTCAATGGCGCGCCACAAAGGCCATTCTCCGAGCCCACGGAAGAATCTCCGAAGCAGCACTCTGCGCCGAAATCCATGCCGAGCAACACGACATGGACCTGCAAGAAGAGCGACACAAGAAGAAGACATCAGCACCGGAATTTGCATTCCACACTCAGCGACGCTACAACAACAACAAACAACAACAACCGAAGCCCGTACCTCCGTTCTGCCACATCTGCAAAACGTCAGGGCACCCGCGCACGCACTGCCCGAATCGACAACAGTCAACGCCTTCACAGCGGCAGCTTCGACCTTCAAGCAATCAAGTCGCCTCAACACAAGCAAATCCTACGACCCAGATTAAAGCCTCAATGACCTCAAGAGGACAACCTGCACAAGGAGCAAGGAACATCGTCAGTTGCATGGCAAGACTAAGCGACTCTTGCATCACGAGATCACCACCGTACTACTCACCGGAAGAACAACTCGACGACACCACACCTCACCTCGATTCACTCCAGCCGGATCCGACATACGCAGCCATCGCCCAAAGCGAGCCATCCGAAAAGGATACGTGGTTCTTGGACAGTTGCTGCGGACAGCACATGTGTTCTTCAGGACGCTTCGTGCAACGAGAGTACCAACTCCAATGTGAAGTAGTCATCACCATCACCAACAGCGAAAGCCTGCGCATACGACGACAAGGAATCGTTCAACTTCAGTCACGAGAAACAAATGTCATACTACAAATGTCCAAGGTCTTAATCGCAGAAGGCCTCGGCTACAACTTACTCAGCGTTAGCCAACTGATGGCTAAAGGTATCCACCTTGAAGCAGACAGCACCACTTAGGAGTTCAAACTATACCACGGGAAGGGCGGCCTCTACATAAAAAAAGCGATCCTGAAAAATAACGTCTTCGTTCTTGATTTTGTTCCAGATCTCGGCACAGGAGACAGCGGCGGCATCGTCACCTTCACTTCCTGGACCCATCCTTCAGATCTTGATCCAGCCTTCAGCCCCGGTGGCTTCTGGTATTCACACACCATCCCTGAGGCAGAAAGAACAAGGGCGTTAGCAACAATTCAAACAACATTGGCAGCAGCAGAGACAACATCGGCAGCAGCAGAGAGAACATCGGCAGCAGCAGAGACAACATCGGCAGCAGCAGAGACAACATCGGCAGCAGCAAAAACAACATCGGCAGCAGCAGAGACATCAACGGCAGAAGCAGGAACGTCAACGCCAGACGCTGGTCCTTCAACGGCACCACTCCTCGTCGATGACACACCACCGACACCCGCGCAACAACTTCACCCAGCACCACGAGAAGTTCATCGAAGCGCCAACTTCACCGCCAGCTTCTATTCCAACTCCGATATGTATCGGCGCTCACCCGGACATCGCGCCACTGAAGGAACCTGGCACGCAAGAATGGGACATCCAAGCAACACGGTGTTAAACAACACGATAAGAGCAGGCGTGCTTGATAAAGACTCTCTACTCCTAACTGACGGCAGAGAACTCCAGCGAGCCCGAGGAACATGCTTCACCTGTCCCAAAGCTGACTTACTGCATCAACCGTTCGCGTCTCACCACAACCCAAGCGCACCAGCTTACGCGCCACTCGAGAAGGTGTACAGCGACATCTTGTACAACTGCGAGCCTGGACAAAATGCGTACAACTACACCATCACCTTCATCGACGCCGCCACACGATATGTCTGGCATCTAAACCTTCCGAGCAAAGACATGGCCTTCGAAGCCTTCGTTGCGTGGCTCCCATTAGCAGAGCGAGAGTCGGGCATCAAACTGAAGAGCTTCTAGTCAGACGGGGGAGGAGAATACACCTCATAGAGGTTCAAGCAGTACTTGGCTGAAAGGGGAATCAAGCGGCTCATCTCCCTTTCCTACGCCCATCAACAGCAAGGTGTAGCAGAAAGGATGAACAGGACCCTCCATAACACCATGCGCAAGCTCCTACGTGGCATGCACCTGCCCAACCACCAGTGGCCCGAAGCAATGAACCACGCCTTCATGCTGCACAACTTGCTCTCGTCATCATCGCTCCCGAACAACGCATCACCGCACCTGCTGTGGACAGGAAATCTGGGCAGCACAAAAATGTTAAGGGTCTTCGGCTGCATGGTACAGTACCGGCCTCCATCCGCACGAGCTGGCCGATTCTCACAACGCGCACAGTGGGGACTACACCTGGGCATCGAAAAACACTACAACGAATGGAAGATTTTCGACGTCGAGACAAAGGAAACAGTAGTAGCACGTGATGTCATCTTCTACGAAAACCTCACCCTCCGGTATTACCTTGCCAACTTGCAAGAAGGAAACCCCGATCGCTCCGATGGTTTTCAAGGCACCCGAGCCTTCGCCTCGGTAGACGACGAAGCTGACTGGGACAAGCAGAACGTGGAAGGAGCCTCGGAAGAAGCCGGACCCCTCCCCTACTGCTCCGTCGACGTGCCAATGGACGACGAAAACCCACGCAAAAGCATCAACGCCGAAACCTATTATCACTTCGCTGACAACGGTTACGTTGCACCTGCACAAGTCAACACCGACGAAGCAGAACGCGTAGGACCCAATTTCGCACCTGATCCAGAAGCGGGAGACGAAGCCGTTCATCCCGCGGACACTTCACTCCCCCGCTACACACAGAGTGGACTCCAAATCCTTGGCCTCGTCACCGCCGTTCACGGCGCAGCCATTTCTAAAGAGCCTGCGACAGTTCAACAGGCTCTGGGGGGGGAACATAAAGAAAAATGGCGCGAAGCCATGGACAAGGAACTAAAGGCACTGGAGGAACGCAACACCTGGAAGGTCGTCCCTATCAGCGTAGCACGGAACAAAACAGTACTCACCGGGAAGTGGGTCTTCCGTGTGAAGACAAAGGCTGACGGCACCATCGACAAGTTTAAAGCTCGCTGGGTCGTACGCGGCTTTGACCAAGAACACGGACGATACTTCACCGAAACTTTCGCTCCGGTCAGTCGACACACTTCGCTCCGAATCCTTCTCGCGATCG